GAAGGACTTCAGCGTGTCGGTGCCAGCCAATTCTGCACGCGGGTGAGTCCTGTTAACGGCATCATTCACGGCTGTGGTCAACTCAGACCCACGCAATGCTACCACATAATCCCTGCTTCGCTACCCTTTTGGTAAACCTCAATCGATTCTGTCTGGCCCTCCTGTCAATACCGTCAACCTCGTCCAACACTAACCAGGACGTCCGACGCGAGCTCGGGGGATCGCAGTCGTACGACGTGGAGCGCATCGTCGACCGACAACCCGCCCAACACCCCGTCAAGGTGGGGCAAATTTCCGACCTTCGAGAGCGCCTCAACCTCTTGCAACCGCCGCCACCCGCCACGGACCTCGACGAAGGATGCGAGAATGGCCGTGAGGGAGGATCCCTCGTCGACACCAGCATGTGGGCGCGCACCTCCTTGGAGGATTTCTTGTCCCTGACCCAAGATGTTCCTACCTCTGCGATCTTCGCCGTGCGGTACAAGCTTACCCCCAATCGGCCGAGCCACCTGATGGTTTTCGGCCCCGGGGACTTTCACTTGTGCTCATGCTTACGGCTCCTGCAGCACGGCCTACCGTGCAGACACTACTTCGCAGTTCTTCTTAGCTTCATCGGCGAGAAGGACTTGCCTGGGTCTGGCCACACCTTCAACGCCGCGTGTGTGCACAACCGCTGGAGACAGGCGCCCGACGTGGACGACGAGCCTTGGAGCGTCTCACTCGTGTTGGGATCAGCAGGGCACGGCGGCGGCTGGGACGGGCTTCACGACAACGACAATGACGTCGCCCCTACCTATGACAACAATGGCGAAATGGATGGCGCGCTTCCCCAGGATGCGAGAAAGGTGGCCGATCAGCGCCGAGCGTTTGCCACCATGATGGCAAAGAGTAAGGAAAATGTCAGCGAGATATTGAGGTCGGTCAACACCGCCGAGGCCCTAGAGATCCAGAGAGCGGTCGACGAGTGTGTTAAGTTCCAACTGACTAAGAGGCTAGGCATGCTCGACGGTACTGCAATAGGTCCCGGCAATCCAGAGATGGCCCCTAAGAAGGGGAGGCCGAAGGGTTCAACAAAGCAGGCTACCGGTACCATCGGCCAAAGTAAAGCTAGAAGCAGAAACCCTGAGGGACAGATGGGCACAACTCTTAAAAGACAAGATTCAGGGATTCGTACGGGCCTGGGTCTGGACGTGGGAGAAGAGCGAGGGGGGATGGACAATCGGCGAGTGGAAACGCCTCGTAGACCTGAGTATGCTCGCGGCCGGTGTGCGGATGGCGACGATGGACTTCGGCTTACCTCGCCCAGTGTCGCGACGTTGGCACACTAAGTTCGTTTCGCAATACGAGTATCGTCTTGTGGGCGGTCATGTGGTCCCCCTTAGGGTTGTACCATCGTCTGCGTCTTGTGTTCCACTCATATCCAAATGTCTTGTGGGAGGTTTCACGTCGCCGTGTGCGGGGCCAAGTGTTGGGCATAGGCAGAGTTTGAGTCTAAGTTTAGGGCGGGGTTAGACGGAAAAGGTATAAACGCCTGGGGGAGATAGAACGTGAGACCTCACCAACACTACCACAACTGCAGTTAAACTAACGCTAACCGGAAACTACATTACGTTCGGCACTGGCAGTTGATTCTCAAGTGCTGTCGTGAACTGCGCGGTCGCCAGGGGAGTCGACTGGCGATACAGCGACGAAACTATATACGGGAACTAAAAATTCAGCGACAAAACTAAAAAGATACGACCCCTGCCTAACCTAACCCAACATTTCGCAGACGTCGAAGCATTGTGCGCAGCGAGCTCTGACATTAAAAGTCCTACGCTGGGACAACCCCTCTTCGGTTCGCCGTGCCCCCTTGCGAGGGTGTATCTCGGCAACCACGTGCCGGTCGAGGCGATGTGATGGCTTGAATGAAAGCTGGGAGCCGTGGCATGACTGCGG